CTGCGCTCAATTCCTGTACTTTGCTGTGTTTGTAAAAATCCGTTTCCTCTAGAGCAGTTGAATAAACACGAAATACATTGCAAAAATTACACCACCCAGAACATAACTGTGACTCTGCCACAACTACTCGAAAAACCACTAACGGTACCACTCGATAGACACGAAGAAATGNNATATTAAATTTTACAATAATAATGATAACGATTAAAATTTATAAATATAACTATGCATTAATTAATTTGTAAAAAGAATGAAACTTACATTAAATAATTTGCTAAAGAAACATCCTATTATTAAAAAAAAACTAATTCAAATATCTGCAGAGTTTACATTTAATTTAAAATCGAATAAAAAGTCATTGTTCTTGTAAAAGGGGACTCGTGAACCACGTATACATAAATTAATAGATTTGATGATCTCAAAGGATAACTTTGTTCTTATGTAAGTAATTGTTTCTGCATATGTGTTATTAGTTTTCTTAGCGAGTTTTTCTGCTAGTGCCTTTAAAGGGACCCTCTACTTCTCAGCAAGTTGAACTTATACTATGTAGAATTTAACGATGATTTCGAAAATCGTACTAAAAATTTTGAGAAATAATTAGTAAGCTAATTAAAGCGCTTTTAATCTCATTAAAAAATCGGTTTGGGCACCCTGTGCTGTCGTGACGTCATTTCGTGACGTCAGGTCGTGGTCGTGTTTTGTTTTGACAAGAAGGAAACCTATAATCGTGCCTTTTCCCGGGCTTTTTATTTCTTTAATTATGGCTATGCATTTTCAATTCGAGCTCGAATATGACGACAATGAGTTAACAGATCAATAAGACAGCTTTGATCACGAAAAAGAATCGAGTGAAGAATATAATATGGCAGAAAATTCGGAAGAAGTATCGTGGTGAATGCGGGCTGTGTGTTAAGATTGAAACAACTGAAATGTGTGTTTTCTGTATCGATTTCGTATTTAACTGAAGCAAATAAAAAAAGGAATAAGTAAAAGTAAGCTCTATAGAATGTTTTATATTATCAATACCAATCTATTTTCTTTAAATGACTCTTGAGTAACGAAACACGAAAGCTCGCGCTTGCGAGGCTGTTTGTTTACGCTTTAGTACGGGACGTTCTCTGGACTGCACTTGTGTAAATCTGCCCAAAGTCCCAAAGCAAATAAACTTCCCAAGCACTGAATAATCAAGAAAATATGTATAGATCAAATTAGGTTATTTTGTTTTGGATGTAATTTGTTGTGCTATACGGTTTGGAAGGTTCAAGACCCACGGCTTTACGTGACCATTAGTACTCCAAAGTCTGTCGTACAAACAGTTTCATAATTTGTCTTTTAGCTTTTAGATCCTTTCGATATGCTGCACTTACAGACAGCTTACATGGTGGAAACATGGGTATTTGGTTTAGGCAGATGTGCACTTTCTCTATCATAAAGTGACACTGCAGTCCAGAGAAAGTCCCGGACAGGCTCGAAGCTTTCGTGGTTGATATGATACAGTGTAAACAAGAGTCATCTATAGAGGAAACGACCGCTAGTTATTAACATTCTATAGAGCTTACTTTTACTCATTCCTTTTTTATTTGCTTCAGTTAAATACGAAATCGATACAGAAAACACACATTTCAGTTGTTTCAATCTTCACACACAGCCCGCATTCACCACGATACTTTTTCCGAATTTTCTTCCATATTATATTCTTCACTCGATTCTTTTTCGTGATCAAAGCTGTCTTATTGATCTGTTAACTCATTGTCGTCATATTCGAGCTCGAATTGAAAAGGCATAGCCATAATTAAAGAAATAAAAAGCCCGGGAAAAGGACACGATTACAGGTTTCCTTCTTGTCAAAACAAAACACGACCACGACCTGACGTCACGAAATGACGTCACGACAGCACAGGGTGCCCAAACCGATTTTTTAATGAGATTAAAAGCGCTTTAATTAGTTTACTAATTATTTCTCGAAATTTTTAATACGATTTTCGAAATCAGCGTTAAATTCTACATAATATAAGTTCAACTTGCTGAGAAGTAGAGGGTCCCTTTAAGAACATATTGCATTCTGATCCCGTTCCACCGTTGGTTCCAAAGATGAGGGGTGTGAAAGTTCCCATATCGACATCTTGGATTCTCTCTGCATATTTTCGTTTCTTTTCTTGCTCTTGCTCTTGAAAGATCGTATTGGTGGTCTTGTTCTGGTTGGTTTTGGAGTTGACATGCGTTACACGTACGTCGAAAAATGCTGTAACTCCTCTTTGCCAGAAACTTCCAGCTTTGATGTCGAGGCGTGCCTCTTGACTTGTGGTGGTAGATTTTAGTTTGAAGCTTTCATCATTCAGTTGGATGAGCTTAGGTTCTGCTTGAACGTTATGACATACCTTGCATAATAACGTAGTCAGGAGATCACGTACATTATCATGTCTCTGNAAAGCCACTCTCGGGAGATGTACTTCTATCACTACAATGGATTTTTCTGTATTTGAGACTTTGGAGAGCTTTGAACAGTTTATTTTCAACAATGAAATCCCAAGTGAATTGGTCCCTGCTGCCGTCGATCGTTTGATGGAATTGACATTAACACCAGAGGTGAGCTTGATATTTTTTTTTATCCAACAAAATTATGATAGTCATCTGATCTATCTATATTTTATTATTACAGGTTGACTCGGAAACACCGGACAAAAAAGATAAAGCGCTTCAAGAATTGGTTGATGATTCCTGCTTGGAACAAGATACAATTTTTGAAGATGTTTCAAAGTTTCTTGATCAAGGCAATGAATTACTAGAAATGGGTGTTTCGGAAGAAAGCCAATTGACAACAAAATCTTCTTTGGAAGAAAAAAGGGATCAGCAATGAGGTATCAGATGCCGAGAATGTGCATTACGCTGATACAAACTTGCCAGTTCCAGAAAAAGATCAATAACCACCTACTCAAGATGAAAGCGATCAAGAATAATGRTGAAGTTGAGAAGACAGAAAAGGCTTTTCTTCAAGGACTTGAGGTTATCCTATACCTACTATTGTAGTAGTGAGATTTGGAAAGATGTCCTCCGTAATCCTGCTYCTGKACATGYAGCTTTATCAGTGCGAAAAGAGGTTTACAACTATTACTACGAGGGGATTGTGTATGAAGTCTGGGTTTTCAAATCCATCTTTCGTGGAATCACTACATGTTGGAACTCTATAAACTTCCAAGCACATCCATTTGCTCAATTTAAAAAATTAAATTAACCGTTTCACGGACGATTGATATAAATCATTCGCGTTCTATACAAAGGCGATCTAATGTCAGCTTCGAGGCGGAAAACAGTAATAAAGGCATCTATAGTAGCTTATCCACAGGAACGCTGACCGTATATCCTATGCTCAGGACCCTCAATGAGCTACTTCTCCTCGACTGAGACTGTGTGTTCAAGATATGTAGCATTACAATAATTCAACATTAACCACAAGTGAAAACAACGATATAAGTTTATGTTGTATGGAACCATATGCATATTTTTAATCGTTAGTTTAGTGTTAGGTATATATCACTGTAAAATCCATTAGAATATTCATGTATTTATGAAATGTGGTTCAATAGAAGAAATTGTCCCCCCTTGAAAAAAGGAATAAAATACAATGAATTGTCAATTGATCTGAACGTGTGTTCCTATTTTACATTTAATAAGTAGATACAGCTAGACTTTAGTTGCAAAGTATAGATTAAAACGATTTATAATTCTTTCATCCACTACGATTTGATGTAATTATTCATATGCTTAAGAGTTCATCTCGCCCGCAAGGGCCTCTTGGACGATTGTTTTAACAATTGGATCATCTTCATGGAGGTTTACCCATTTAAAACTCCCAGTGCACAGGTTTCTTATTTTAACGGGCCAGTAAAGTTCACCTCCTAAGCTAACGCCCGGCTGATTTGGGTGATGTGGATTGCGGGAGGTTTTATACATCTC